TTTCATTTCTAACAGAACCTATGCTGGTGTCTGATCACACTGGCAGGTTTTAATAAAGGAATATGAATACGAGCTATAGAACGAGCGAATTTTTGAGTAAGGCAGCACTGCAACTTTTAGTAATGCCGAAGGATTAAACTTATACCGATAAATCTGGCAGGGACGCGTCATTTCGTTCGCAGGAATCAGTCTTGTGCCTACACTCTTTCAAAACGGGGGCGTAATGCTGCACGGCCCGTTGAGTTCGAATAAACGAGCGTTGTTAGCGCCCCCGCGCATTAGCCACGGACGATTTACACTCGGAGTGCATAGGCCCAACAATGCCACAGATAAAAATAGAAAATCCCCTATCGTCCTTTTTCACATGACGTTTTTACTTTTTCGAAATTTGACAATAGCATTCGCATCATTGGTCTTACGGCTTGTAATACTTGTGAAGTGTCGGGCAGAAGCTTCGACTTTAAAATGTATGGGTATTGAGCCCGGGGAATTACCTTGGTATTTGGTCTGGATTGTGTTATCTGGACAACATACTGTTAAAGATCTTCAATGAAAATGAAATACCACTATTGATGATATGTCATGGGTGGTGGTATAGTTACTTACCATTACTTACCTCTTTTGTCATATTTTTCTCCCGTGAAAAAAACAGATATTACTGACGATACCGCGGTCTTGCCCCAACTCTACATATAATACTTGAAACACATTTTTCTTATGATAACCCAGCTTGCTTCACTAGGTCTAATAATATCGTGGTACTTTTCCGTTTCAATTCAAAATCAGAGAAAAAGGTTATTAGCACACACGAACAAAAAAAAATCAGAATTATTCATTCATCGACATAAGAGAAATACATTTTATTTATAGATAGTCATTTTTTTAATCTACCACCGTTTCGTAATGAGGTTCCTCTAACGGAGAAGAATCAGGCGAAAGAAACTCGGTATAATCTTTTTTGTCAATTTTTCTTTTTCTCAGCTAAAATTAAAATATTATATAACAATTTTTTCTTTTAGAAATGGCTTGGGTGCGATCAACCATTCCCAGGGGTTATTGTCATTAATGTATTCATTTATATTATAATAACCCTTTTTATAAAGTTTTTCTTTAATAAATTTCTTAAACCTGTTGATAGACAGACTGCGCATTTACTGGGATTTTTTTTGTAGAAGCGTATACATCGCCCCATGAACGAGATACTTAATCTATGGAGTCTAGAACCTAAACGCCTTTATGAACTTCATACATTAGCTGTCAGAAGTTTGAGGTCTCCTTACCTCTTTCTTGGACTTAGCACTTAGCAACAAGCCTTCCTGATTTTTTTCTATTATATTCTATTAGGAATATACAACCAAAACTTAAAGTATTGTTACCAATAAGTATTTGATTTTTATTGAGTTTAGGTTAAAAGTTAAATAGTTAGGATATTTGCAAGATGATAGACATTGTACATGTTCTGCGATGCCGGTTTTTTAAGCGAACTACGAACCCAACACAGGCAAAGGCTATTTGACTTGCCTGGGCTGATGCAAAATAATAAGATTAAGTAAGCTATTTATATGTCAGCTGATTTTTGAAGCTATAGTAACCCGTCTTAAAAGTGGGGACAAAATGATCCAGGCAGCTATAGACCTATTTTCAGATTGCCATCACCAAGTAAAATTTTTTGGAAAAATTAATTTTAAGCCAACTATTTGTACATTTTAATATAAATAAAAATTTTCATGATGAGCAAAATGGATTCACTAAAGGCAGATCGACAACAGATGCGGGTATCGCACTTGTCAAACATATTTATAACGCCTGGGAAAGGTCGCAAGATGCAATAGGTGTTTTACGATCTTTCAAAAGCTTTCGACTACGTAGACCACAAAACCCTACTTCACAAGCTAGATTATTATGGCATTCGTGGCATCGCTCAAAATTTCATTGCCTCTTAAATTAGTAATAGAATTCAAAAATTATCAATAAATGATGTTAATTCCACTGGGTCCCCTATGAAAATGAGTGTCCCAAAAGGTTCAACCTTGGGCCCATTATTATTTTTAGTATATATTAATGATCTCCCCTTGTATGCCAGTGAGTTGTGTGATGTTGTACTGTTAGCTGACGGTATATCTTTAAGGTTGACCGAAATGTGTTAAATTATGACGACGTGAATAGTGCACTTTCACATATCCTCCACTGGTCTACTATTAATAATATGGTATTAAATGCTAAAAAAAGTCAAGGCAAAGTTATAGTTTAATATTAAATAAAGTATCCATCAATCCAGTTGAGTCTGCTGTATTTCTGGGAATTACATAAATTCAAAGCTCCAATGAAGTATGGATGTATCTCTGGCGAATGGCTATATATATATATATATCTGGCGAATAGGCTAAGCTCCGCTGTTTTTGCGATTAGAAGAATTAGACAGCTAACAGACAACGACACTGCCAGACTGCTTTACTTCAGTTATTTTCACAGCATCTTGTCGTACGATATTTTGTTGTGGGGTAGTGCATCAGATATAAATTCTATATTTATTCTTCAAAAAAGAGCTGTCCGAGCAATCTACAATATCGGAGCCCGGAATTCGCTCAGAGATCTTTTCAAAAAGGTTAATATACTTACTATTGCTTCTCAATACATTTATTGTAATATTTTGTATATACGTCATAACCTTAATTATTACCTAAAGAATAGTGACAGACATAAAATAAACACTAGAAATAAGGACAAACTTACTACGCCATATAAATAGGTCTTTCATGGGGCAAAGTGTGCGCATGTATAATAAAATCCCACAGTCGATATTACGTCTGCCGCGTAGTATATGAAATGGAGTAAGAACTTCATCCTTCAAAGACGATTTATAAATCATAATTTATTGCTTTATCTTATTCTACGGGACTAAGGCAAAATATAATATAAAACAAATATGTTTAAGTTCACGCATCTTATAGACACAATGGACGTTTTTTTTTTAAAAAATCTTTGATTAAAATATTTCAATTCGATTATTTATAATTAAATATAGAATTATAAGTAACTCTTTTCATTTGCATATCTATGATTCGTTGGCAACATTCTTACTGTGGGCGAGCCACGCAGCTTTTGCTATTTTATGAACGAGTGGGCCCAAATCCTCCGCGGTAGTTCCACGGCCTCCCAGAAGACCGTCGGAAAGTGGAAGTATTCATAATTTTGATTTTGATCTGATGAGTCAAGAGACCGAGAGCTCTTAAGGTATGACCAGCCCAATGACGGCAGTAATCTCTTACCACAATGAGAAATCAGTAATCGTTTACAATCTTCTCTCATAAAAAACATATAGACAACAGCATTAAATAGTGTTTTGCTTTGTTGGTTCGAGTTTTTGTGAAGGCAGAAGTGGCCTAGCAGATGAAAACAGCGACTTACCTGAGGGAACAGATCCAATGGTCTAACTCGTGACCTTTCGTTAAACGGCTTCCTTTAACGACATTTCTTGTAGCGCTTTACCTTTCGGCACACATTTATATGCAGTTTACAAAGAAGTTCTCACTATCAATTACTACTGGTAAGCTCGGTGAAACGAAAATTGGACTATCTATCTAGAACCTACTTTAAGCCATTAATAAGTTTAAATTTTGTACAAAAATAGACGAAATTTTTTACCCAAGGTGAATAACGCGGCAGGCTCTAAAAGATAACCCATATTGCAAGTGACCATATTTCCCTTGAATTACTGCGACAAATGACTCGACATCGCATTAGAATGGCACTGGTGTTTCGCGAACTTTTAAAAATGCCCATTTAGCTTCGTTTGGTGAGTGAAGGTTACTTAACACAAGTTTTGTTTGATGGCAGAGATGGCAGTTCACCTGATCTTTAGGGGTCACCGCCAAGCTACAGCAGAATCTGGTGCGTGGGACTGCGACACTAAACGTCACTATTCACGTCGTCATTTCAAACGTCTAATTTATAACGGTTATTAAAAATTAGGTTTAGAAATTTAAAGTACATTTATTTTAAAGTGTTGAAATAATCAGAAGAAAATCTGAAGATAGCCATTAGGTTTCTAAATGAGATTCACGTGGCAGGAGAATTCTTATAACCCTAATAAAATTCATAAGCAATTACTAAGAGCTTAAGTACTGGATACATCGAATAACTGTACTTATATGATTATAAACTTACCTGTAAAATCGATACAATGTTTCGATGGTTACATAAAACTCGAAGTAATGAAAAGAATTTGTATTTATCAATATTTAAAAAATATAAGGATTCTTTTATTTTACAACCAATTTTACAATTAATCTTTATTTAACTAACAATTTCAATTCTTGCTTTTAAATTGCAATTAACATATTTATTGCCATAAGATTTACATTTATTCCGTACGGGTTTAAAATTAAAAAAATCATTTTTTTAAATTGTTTTTCAATATTTATTATTTGGATCTAGTTGGAGTAGATGGGTTTGAAAAATATAAAATATACAAATAAATATTTAAAACATTTACAAGCCTTGGCTCAGTTATTAGAGGGATTTAATGAACAATTTTACGCAAGGTAACACATAAACTAAAAATAATGTTTATAAAGTAATGACTAAAAAACATACCCACCCCTCCGTCATATACTAACGGATCATCCACCAAACTCCCCACGCCTATTAATAACAATCATTTCAGCTCTCTCGCCTGCATCAATACGTTCCATCCACTTCTTTAATCATTGCAATTTCGAAACAAGCCCGAGTGTCGGTCGGTGTCGAATAAATTTCGTATAATGTAAACGTGATAACAATTTAAATTCTTCTGTAACGGGCCGCGGAGCCGACAAAAACAACAAACAAAGCGGGCGCTTCGCGATTGGCGCGGCGTCGCGGGGCGGCGCCCGGGACCCGGCCCCTCCCGGCGCGCACACTCGCCCGCTCGCCCAGTCCATGCCCTCCATTACGCTGCGAGAGACGTGTCCCATCGAGTACGCATAATGAGACCGTCAACGTAGATACATGTGAACACGATGCCCCGGCCCACGCGCGAGTCCTACGGCGACCAGAAACCACCGTTCTCGTACATCGCACTGACCGCAATGGCAATCTGGAGCTCACCGGAGCGCATGCTGCCCCTGTCCGAGATCTACCGCTTCATCACGGACCGCTTCCCGTACTACCGGCGCAACACGCAGCGCTGGCAGAACTCGCTGCGGCACAACCTCTCCTTCAACGACTGCTTCGTGAAGGTGCCACGGCGGCCCGACCGCCCCGGCAAGGGCGCCTACTGGACCCTGCACCCGCAGGCCTTCGACATGTTCGAGAACGGCTCGCTGTTGCGCCGCAGGAAGCGCTTCAAGCTGCACAAGGGGGAGAAGGACAGTTTGAACGCCGAGCTGGCGGCCCTGGCAACTTTTAACAGAGCGTTTTTGGCGCGGCAAGCGAACGCTCCGCTACCGCCGCCTAATTTGTCGAGTAGCATGTACGGCCCAGCCATGAATGTGTGCTCGAGGTCTAGTCCTGAAGTGATTGAGGCGCCCGATACGGCGGCTTTGATACCGGCTTGTCCGCGGCCACGTAGGGCTTTCACAATTGATGCTCTCCTCGAGCCTGAACCAAGCAGGCTGTCACCGTCACCGCCACCACCGCAGCCCCACTGCCCACTGCCTCTGCCGCCCGCCCCATACCTTTTAGCGGCGCACAGATACCACGCAGAACTCCTAGCTGGACTACAACAGTCCTGCCTACCACCGCTTTGGACTTGGCGCGATACGAGTCAATTCTCACATTACACGCTTAATTCATGAATGGTGAGTCCTAATAATGTTCGTTTACGTCAACAGTTCATTTAACAATATCAGAACATCTTAATACTAGATTTTTAGAGGATAATTTGAGAATTCTAAGATATCAAATCAAGTCAATGACACACGAACATTAAACAAAAATTATGTTAAGATACTCGTATAAGATGCAGTTTATTTATTAAACGATCAATATTTACGAACGTAAGAAATTGTGTTCATAAAAGGTACATTAAATTATTCCAAAATAATCCAATAAGCACTGAATTGCCAAGGCTATCAAAAAACATCAACAAAGGGGGCATCATCAAGTCTTTTAGCGGCCAAAGACCTGATAGGCCTTCTATCCTTAACAAGTTGTGCTTAACAAGCTTCTACTAATTTAATTATCTGATAAGCATTATGAGTCTGGAGAACACAAACATTGTAAGGTAAGGTCGTGGGAATTCAATTACGCACAATTGGATCAGATAGTACTAAAACAAGTCGCTACAAAAATGTTCCCACTTCATCAAGTACATAGATTACGAGATTAACGGGAATATTATGTTCCTCTCGTATTCAACAATTCTCATCATTACGTTCAACGTTCAAATTCGTCATAAAACTCCATAATAAACAACAGCTATCATGTAATAAGATAAGGTCATAGCTATACATACTATGAATGTTTGGATCCACCCTCCATTCGTGTCATTTTGCGCTCTTTTAACGTATATCCTGCCAGCTCTTCATTGTCACATCCCTACTTCCGTAATAATATTATAAATGCGAAAGTAACTCTGTCTGTCTATCTGTCTCGCTTTCACTCCAAAACTACTGAGCCGATTTAAATGAAGTTTGGTACTCAGAGAGTCTACATCCTGAGAAAGGACATAGGCTATTTTTTAATTGGAAAAGTGTTGTTAAGGGCCTCAACGCGAGCAAAGCCGCGGGCGAAAAGCTAGTAGTTTATAGAACTTATAAACTCCTGTTAATATCTAGTCCTGTCGAAAAAAGTGAACGTGACATTAGCGCGTAATATGTTCGACATACAAACTCTCAACTCTTATACAGATGTAGTTATATTCTAAAAGACGAATATTTCTTTTAAAACCGTCATTATCGGCATTAATTGGATACTGGTGCCATATCAGTTTTTATTTATTTATCTTGAGCTTACTATTCGACTGTCATATCAGATTATGGTAAGAATTACTAACAGAGTTAAATTTCGGTATTTGAAGAATATTGCTCTATTACTTGGACTGCCACAAGGACACTGGTCTTTCGATTGATATCATGAAAATGATTAATGTAACTTTTCATTTCAAGTATACCGTATTTTAAATGTAACTTAATTGATATCTTTCCCTAGCAGTAATATTTTTAACACCGATTTATGACAACTGCGCCTGTTTTAACATTCTAAAAATGTGTGCAAGATTTTAACATCAGACTATAGAAAACACGCTTAAAATTAGTAAAAAAAATGTCAACAATACACTAAAACTGTTTGCAGGCCTTTCACATTTCTTAGTTCCCTTTCTGTGAACAGAAAGGGAACTAAGAAATGTGAAAGTGATAAGGATAGGTATATTAGCATAATCATTAAACGAATATAAATAGTCGTTTTTGATTGTTATCGGAAAAAATAACAGTCACGTAAAAACTTTACAAAATTAAAGCTGTTTTAAATAAACAATTTTAGGTAAATTATGTTTGACAATCTGCTTTGTATTTTGATTATTTGATTATAATATAAGAATAAATTCAAGTATTTATAACTTTCTTCTTACGAGGGATTTAAATTAATTTAATTTTAACATTTTTCAACAACAAACCTCACAATTTGAACTTTATCTAATTAAATAATTAACTTTGATAATATTTTATATACATCGTTTACCATGTCATTATTGTATTACATTAAAAGCATTCAAACTTCTGAATTTGAAATTAAAGTTAAATACAACAAATAACGTTCTTCACTATTAATATCACCATTGCTCTATGCGATCTTAAAACCGTTTGTCCTAAAAATAATAAACTAGAATAAAATAAATTAAGTACACATTTGAATGCAACGCCAAAACTGGCCCTTTCAATCATAATATTTCCATTTATGATATTTAGTAGAATCACCTAATTTATGATTCAAGATAAGCCAATACGGTACTATGCTATTTTCTTCCATTAAATAAAAAAAATTAACTCACTGTAAATTATCATCTATGTAAACGATTTATTCTTAATCTTACGTAGGCAAAGCTCATTAAATGTATAAAATATAAATATTTAACTCTTTAGGTCAAACATAAAAGTTAAAATATTATCAGACTTCTATAATCATACTTAAGTTTGTATAAATTGCATACATTAAAGCACTATCAGCAATGCTCATTAAGTTATACTACTAAATGAACGATGTTATAAAAGTATACACAAGTAAATGTAAGCAATGTTTACATACGCTATCAAAAACTCTGGAATATTGCCTCAATATTCCTCAATATTCCCTAAATTTTGACTGCACGGGATTATTTTGTATTACCAAGATGCCTTAAAATTAGAATAACTTAATTATTTTAATGATAAGCGAATGGCTTTCATTCTGTGCATTATAATCAAAAATCTTATTATTATTTCTTTAAATAAATTAGAGCCTTTTGAAATATTTGGCTTCGTTAAAAATTTATTTTTCGGAAAATTTATTTCTTGGTATTTAATTCTAATGATCTTAAAATAAGAAATTATTATACAGTTATTACCTTCCCTCACATTATAAAACAAAAAACTTAAACAATTTTAATAGACAATAATAATGTTAACAAAAACGTATTTTGCCTAATGTTTCTTATTATCTACATTTTACCAAATTTTTCGAATGTTCAATAGCACATATTTGATTACCCAAAAGTGCAAATATATTTCTTTCAGAGCCACGCCTTGAAATGACCATCCAACACTCGTTATGTTTCATCTGATTATATTTTAGTTTTCTTCATATTTGCCATTTTTCTTCCCAATACCGTTTACATTTACTTAGTTCATATATTCAAACTCATGTAATTATTTAATATAATGTATTACAAATACGCTCCAACTGAAATATAGTTAAAGCGTTATCTAATGCATTTACAAAATTGTTGAGTTCCAATATGCTGATTCTAATATAAAATCTATTTCGCTTTTAGCGCCAAGTTATTAACACTAGAAGATGCATTATCTTAAAAGTCGAACTCTACCTTGCGGAAATCAATTCAATTAATTGTTTATATTTCCATCGATTCAATCATTATCATATTGTACCAATAAAACACTATTAAAATTACATATTCATATAGAAACTTTGGTTTAACAAGAGTAATCAAAAATGTTTGAGCTTTTAGCATTTTAATGTCAATCTTAGAAAGGCTTACGCTTTTGAAGAAATGAAAGACTAAGGTGTAACCAACAAATCATTTTACAGCATAAATTTTAAAATTATTTTCGATGCAATCATGGCATTGCCAGCTTATTGATATAAAAATATTTGTTGCAAATCAATTATTTCAATTACAACTTGTGTGTCAAGAATGAAATTATGTTTTAATTTAATTGACGGTTAATTTTCTGTTTTGTTTTGTTAACAGGTAGCATCATCATTACTAAAAGATCTCAGGATTAGCTCTAGATTTAAGGAACTAGCGGCAATTGATATAATGCCTAAATATTAAATTATTAGAAAATTAGTTACAAAAGAAATTAGAGAAACTGAAGAGATACATTCTTAAATCCTCCATCTGGTGTATAAAGCTATTGAAAAAAGAAAACAAAAGGTAAGTTTTGTAGCCTGTTTTTATTATAGACTCTCAGGTTATAAATAAATGTTAAATCTATTCTCACTTTAAATGATAACTCGTTAAAAATAGATACGATTATTTTACATGTAAATTGATTGAAACGTCACTCCTGATACACCGCTATGCATTCGTATATATACAATCGTAAATCGTAATCGGTTCTTTTATTAAAACTTACTGTGATAGGGCCATCTTCGCTGTTGTACAAATGGGCAGGTCCGTCCAGGTAAGTAACACGACCTCACAGAAGACTGGCCTGAAGTGGAAGTGTTATACTTCTGCGTTGCGTCTGGTGAGTGAGGTAACAAGGGCCCACTTTATTAAAAGGTGGCAACGCATTTGCAATTTTACGGTTGTTGCAAATGTCCGTGGGTGGCGGTTATCACTTAACATAAGGTGAACCGCCAGATCGCTTGCTACCTTCTGCAAAAAAATAAACACTTGGATAATTGCAAAACAAAATCCACCTAAAAAGATAACAATAACAAATAACAGCTTTTTTGCATTGAGTTAGAGTCTGAATACTTATTTCCGTTTAATAAGTTGCTTAGTATGAGATTTCGCAGTTCACTCCTCCCAATTCAATTATTTATTAGTGTTTGTAACACTCACAAACAATTGTTCGGGATCCTGCTTCACTATTTTATATAAAACACAGTCTCTTTGTAAGATGTTTATTAGGAGTTTGTCATACTTTTTCCAAGTGTAAGTCAAAATTACGAAGTGAAGTGAAGTGATGCCTTTAATAATACATTATGATTCTAAATACATTACATGAATGAATCAGCTCGTCCGCGGAAATATACCAGGGAATAATGGTGTCATGCAGAAGTATTAAAACTTTTGGTTTTCGTCTGCGGGGTAAGGTAGCCGGGGATTTCCTTCTTGGGTTAAAATAGGTTGCAGGTAGGTTAAGAAAGGTTAGGTACGCAACTGCAACCTCACGGCTACGAGGGCTGTTCATTATTTTTTTTTATGTGAAAAGTTTTCAAGAGAGTAGGCGGTTCACCAGATATTAAATGAATACCAATCATGTACATCTACAACACTCGAGTGCTTGCAAATGCATTGATAACCTTTACGAAAGTGGGCACCAGACGAATCGCGAAAGTTTAATTATTCCACTTCACTAGGTTGCCCGGGGTCCCCGGACGCGCCTGCGTATTCGTGCAACCGCGAAAGCTGTGGCAAGGCCTTACCAAAGGATTCTGATATCTGTGATATCGGCCGAACTATCGATTCTTTGTCAACTTCTCTCATTAATATACTTCTAGAATACAGTCCAAGTTTCGTACCAAAATAATTTTTTTCTCTAAATATTTATTTAAAATTGGTTTGAACTCTCTTTGTGTAATTACTATGGGAAAGACGTATTTTAAAATATTTATTATATTGTTGAATGTCTAACGTAAGCATTTAAATAAAGTTATTTGTTAGGTCGACTTTAAATGGTGTTATTTAAAATACACAAAAAAAAATAATGTTTTAAACAATAAAAAATATATATTATAAAATATGTGAGAATACATTGCAACTTTCCATTGCCTATATTGTTAAAAAGTGGGCTATAACGTGTGTGGTATGTTAATTACTGCATTTGTTGATTATGTGTTGAATGATCGTTCTCTCACGAAACTAATTCTTTCGCAGGACACAAACGGAATACTCAAACTGTCGCCGGAAACAAACTGAGGATTTCTCAATAAACGCCAATGATCCTGCTTTCTTTAATACGTCAATAGTGTTTTATATTTGTGTCTATTGTAAGACCTGTGATATTTGTGCTAGATAAACTCGTTTGTAAATATAGATGTATGAACTATAAATCTATCAAAAATAACCTTAATTTATTGTATAGCGTTAATATGGAAAATATATGATATGGATGTCAACTGGTCGTATGTAGTTTGATTTAATGTTTTGACCGAACAACTAGATGTGTATTAATCTTAAGTTCATTTCCGTATTTATGGAGTAATATTATTTTATTTTATTGATATAACAATAGATGGCGCCAAGCATTGCTTCAAATGCTAATAAAACAATGTGGAAGAATGCGTTAAGATTTTCGTTCAAATCAGCCGTTTAGCTCAAGAGCGTCAGGCCGCGAATAGGGTTCGATTCCCAAACAATAATTTTTCTACATATTTTAAAACCTAGATAGTGTTCAAAGCTTTAAAGGTTTAAGGTAGTAAAATAATAATTAGTATTTGATAAAATCACAAATAATGATGAATGATGAGTAGAAAAATAAATAAACACGAACAGAAATTACTTCTTTTAATGAATAGTATTTGTAATGAATAATCATTGAATTATTCATTTTTTTTTATTGAATAATCAAAGGCGCACAGTGACTCGATGACGCTGTTGCTAAGTTATTGGCTTCAGCGTCGGGGGCCGTGGGTTCGATTTCCACACGGGGCAAGTATTAAAATTTCATTAAACAATTTTATTACATCGTAGCTGATGTTAAATAATCCAATTTTACAAGCATCCTCCTAGCAATACTAATAAAAAGATATTTTAGTAATAACTCGCCAAAACCCGCGACTTCGACTGCGTGGATTTCGTAATAGATATAATTTTTTTTTAATTGTTGCCCATAGAGAAGGATGTTTTTCATCCAAGCTTTTATCCTCGATTATACAACTACAAATAAAATAAAATCAAAAAGAAATTTTTGATACACAAGTGATTTAGATTCCATTGAATTTATTTTATATGTTTTTTTTTTCTAACGAACGGCCATTTCGTGTGAGCCGACCGTAACCGATATATGTTTACAACATATTAAAATGCCAGCACTAAAACGTCGAGGGTTAATATGCGAGGCGGTTTAGTGTTAAAGTTGTCATCGCGTGCGGCATCACGCGCGGGCACACTGATCTTTTGCATAAAGCGGGGCACAATGCGCCGCGCTGTGCCTAGGTCTCGAGTAATTGTTAACGGACCTCCTTTACACCGGGCTCGTTCAATGGCGACAAAGGTCGGCCGCATAAAGCCGTCGGCGCGGACACACGATGCGTCACGGGCCACAATGCAAACAGCCGGCGTCTGTGATGCTGTGTGCTGGTGTCACAACAGCGCTCTCTCCGACTGTGCGTGGCGCCGTGACCAATCGCCGACAATGCTGGTGGCCCGCCAGCAAAGAAAGCCGAGCGGTGGCGCGAAGCCTTTGTGAGCCTCGAGCTCGTATATGTCCGTCTGTGCGCCGCATTTACGCGAATGCAGTCGTCCGTACGGAACAAGTGATATGGTCGACACATTAGCGATGAAATCGATTTCATTGGCAGCTTTAATTGTTTTGGTATTGACAAATTGAACGCGGGTGCCACAGGGTTTGGGATTTGGTCCGCTTGCATATTAATATATAAACAACGTCTCCTAAACTATCCAGAATTAAGTTCTATGAATAAATTTTAATAACGTTTTCAGATGTATTTTTTGCATACTTACTTACTTGTCTTTTTTTGTTGAAAATAAACGACACCGAAAATTGCAAATGCATTCAAAAAAGTGACATAACAGTTCCACAGACAATTTTTAGTTACGAATTTAACAATCAACATGGAGTAACATTAAGTACTCGTTATCAACGGTACATTCCTTTCTACGTGTCGCGATTAAAATCTAAAATATTGGGTTAAATAACACCCTAATAAATTATTGGGTTAAATAACACCCTAATGGAAATCCGAAGAAAAAGTTTTATTTAATCATTGAACTAAAAATATATATAACAAATAAAACAATGAAAACAAAATATGTTACAATGTATGCTGATTTGTCTTCTGACTTATACATTATTATCAGATATCATGTCATGTCATGAATTGATTACAAAACGATTAGGGAGTTCGTACAAAGAAAAATAAATAGGTTAGGGTAATAATGTTTGACATTAAAGTTACTTTATCTTACAAATGGTATTTATTCATTCTATACTACATTTAACGGTTACCTTTTAATCTTTGACTTTTTAATTGTCATAATAAACATACCGGCTCTAACTAGAGTAACAGTAACAGTAGAAGCAACCTAAAAATAAAAATGAAAGTAATGTTATGAGAAACGTAAAAAGTACAAAATTTTTTGTATTAATTTTGTTTATAAGGTAATAAAATCGTTTAGTTTTTCATTTTATTGCGAAAGATATTGTAAGATAAAATACTTTAGGAAGAAATAATTTTCCTGTTTCCATTATCTTGTTTGTTCCCTCAGACCAATAAAAAAAGTATTTTTTATTGGTCTGAGGAAACTTTTTTTATTGGTCTGAATTTTTTCCACTCCTTTAACATTTGAAAAGGCATAGGGAAATGGAAAAGAATTTGCCTAAATTTTCTAAACAAACCGGCAGTATTACAAAGAATTTATTTTTAGCCCTTTGTTGAAATAATAATAAACTTTGAATTAAGGAACATTTATTTTAATTAAATCCCTTTATACCGTTCACGCAGAAGCGATGTTAAACGTAAGACTAATCCAGTTTTAAAATTAAGCACTATGTAGCAATTAACCTTCACTTACTTAGATCGGTATCGGTGGTAACACGAGTAGTTCTACGTCTATCGCACCTGGATATCTAAAAATTTATGCTTTGCAAATCGGGCCCGATCAGACGTCGGCGTTTCATTCGACTCTATTAGACACCTTCAGATCTGGCCGCATTCAATTGAAACAATATTTTATACATCACCGGCGAGGGAGTAAAATAAAACGGTAGAACCATAAACATTCCAAGTTTAAATTCGGCCTCTGACGATCGACGGGGTGCAACCTCTCTTTCCCTCCCGTTGCGTCCCGCTCCCTCTGCGCCAACTCGTCTGCGGGAACCGGCAGGCTCCCCGTTGGAGATTCGAGATGATAAAAATGGTACGGCTCATAATGTTTTAACGCGCCGGCTTTGAGTGCAGCGGGCCGATGCCCAATTTAATTCTCCCTCACGGGTGAGTAATAATTGCCTTGATTCGTTCTATGCTCGAGGATCAGGAGTCAGTTAGCAGGTTCAGTTCAGGGCAACCTTAATTGGTTGCGTTTAAGTGAATCATTTCCATGTTCCTGCCTGATTGTAAGAGTTTTGTCTACTGATTTGGGCGCAACGTTATATTATGTCACGTGTTATTGTTGTACAAAGGCAGTTTCCGTCTACTGATACCAGCTTTTCTGAATTCTGCAGTACCTATGTTTAAAAAGAAACATAAAATGTGCTCATGGTCTTTCTTTAGATCTCTTGTAAAGTCCTTTACGAAATTACAGTCCCGAAATAGATTAAATCGTACGATGCATATTACATCTTCGACATTATTAAAAGTAACGGATTATTAGAAAGTATTTCGTGCTCGGCTCCATTTATTATAAAGCCGTAAAAGACTCAATAAGTTCAAATCCCTAACTTATTTTGGTAATGCAAACGTTGAGCGAAGATAAAAATGTTATTTAAAAGGCGTTATGCCCCGTTGCCTAAATGCCACTCGTGCGATCGGCCCTAAAACTCCGATGTCGCAATCGAAATCGAGCTTAATTCACGGTCTTTCTGATATTGTAAAAGAGCGAATTCCGCGACGCCATTATCCGGCTTTGGAAATTGGTCACAGCGGTGCACAAAGCAGCGCAACACCTACATCAGACAAAACGTCCGTCGGCCAGCCACAAAGCTCCCCGCGTATACAAATAAATAGCGTCGGAACAACAAATATTTTAATAAACACTCCTAAAGAATTGTTCAACGCCATTTTACACGCATGACGCACTGGGTCGCGCGGCCGACCTGAAAACGTCACCCGTTGCACACGCCATTCCAAACCCTCATGTCACAGGCAGAGAGCCCGAATCGATTCGACGGAATCTAGCTACGGTTACGTAATTGTCAAGACGCCGTGACCAATGACAGTGTATGGTCTTCGCCGGCGAATACTGATCTCTTTGGGAACGTAAACGTTTTATGGCGACTTTGGAGAGAAAATTGGAAAAGGTAAGCGTGAAACGTGGCAGATGTTCTATCGTAAACGGCGGGCTGTGGTCCGGTCGCGTGCATCGAATAAAAAGAATACGAGTATTCCCTTTGCATCTGTCTGTGTGCCCCTTGTAGGAATATGCTCTGTTCATATATTGCCAGTGTTTGACCGCCATCTTTTTTGTGTCAGAAAGAGTGTGGAGGGATATTCTTTGAAAGATCTCGTACCTCTTGGGGATTTCAGTTGGTAAGAACCCCACATACCCATGTGGGGGGTTCTTACCCACTAAAACCCTATCGGCGGACACTATCCAACCAGATGGCCAGGCAAATTAGTCATAGATGGTCCCTATTCCCTATTGAGTAAAAGACGCCCAAGTTGTATTTGGACGGAAAGAAAGAGGCCAGCTTATAGCTGCTGATGCTAATGGCTATAATATTTTATCTTTTAGCCAATAACAAATTCAAATCATCCCAGAAACGTTAAAAATGAGGTAACACACGAAACGTTATTTTTTTCTTTTACAGGAACAGCGGTAGACATAATACTTTAATAATATATAAAATAAACCTAAGCTATACAACTTGTGTCCTGTATAACTGTAGCAGTTGGTGAGGTGATTACGGATAACACTTAACACTGGAATATGTTACTTGATAACATAATATAAACAATTAAAACCAATCGATTGGAAATTTGTTTGATAGATCATACATACACTGCGGGCGATGATATTATCATGATTTTGCTACCTACACATGATACTAAAATATATCTTCATTTCATAATTCTAAAGAACTCTAATAGCTAGTTATACAAATATTCGTTCCAAGTTTTTCCTGTTACTATAAACCGACAGCGTCTAGCAATCCGCATAGTTCCAAAGCGTCGAGTTAATTTAACGTAATCAGTCTAAAGTGCCTTAACATTTACATTTTGACTACCAGTCTTAAACAGGATGTAAAAAACACACATGCTACGGACGATAGGTATAATTGACGAACGAATTAATTAGCGACCGACTTAGTTTTCGAGATTAAAAACACAAAACGAGGAGGATTAGAGTAATAAATCTTTAAAGCTCAAAATGTGTCTGTGCAAATAGTTACGTCAGGCCCAAATTAGAATTTATGTTCCAGTAGTTTTACTACTTCTGCTAGATTAGTGTTTTGAAACATTAACAGTCTGTGTTAACGTTAAATTATGAAGAAATTATCTGCAGACGGGGATGAAACGTGACCAGTTTAGAATTAATAATTTAATTTAGTTTTTTACTGACAGAATTTTGTTCATTTTAGATTCGAATTAAATTATTTTTTAAATATGAATTTCGAATGCTTCGCTGCATCCGTATTTGGTGTAGTCAACACAAAACGAGTTTATTAAGTGCATTCTATTCGTGTTAATAAGGAATCATTACATTGCGAAGATATTTATAACGTTCCGAAACCCTCTAATGATTTAATGCTAACCCATCATAATTTGACAGAGGCAGCCGAACCGCTAATTAATATATGTATCTCAATTAAGTAATTGTAAATCATGGCATTAAATTATTTACATATTCATAGAATATTACTAGAGGTTTCCACCGTTATTATTTGAGGACATTAATATGCATACCTGATCGTAAAAATGTCGCGGCCAATCATTATTTTCGTGGTGCGTTCGTAAACCGACCGCGGCGTACGAATAGCGCAAAAGGTGCGCGTTGAAAACATAAAATTATTCAACATCGAACGAATCTAATCGAGCGAAATCAATTTATTTTTACTACTGTTTGGAATTAATACGTCGCCGCGCCTAAATAAATCATGTTGATTGCCCAAAATACCCTGTACGCGTTAAATTATTAGTTGCGAAATTGATATCAGAAACCTACACGATTACGATGTTTTGAATTTAAATTGCGAGCTTTTTGCACACTTTTGTAATTATAGCTCCCTGGTGCGGTTTGAAAACGCGCGTTTTAATATTCTTTATCTAATAATAAAACATTAATTTTATAAATAACATTGAAAAGGACCAATTGAGGGCGTAAAAGGTTTCAAATAATAATTATATCGCGAATTAAGCGCAATATCGCTTATTCCGCTTGGACTTTTGGATTTTCTAAACTACTTGTTCGTGCTATAGCTACCATATCATTTCAACTGTGATACTCAATCCGTTACATCATTCTCTCGTTATGCTAAAAGCAATAAATATGGATTAATGGCCCGCAGACAGACCGCCTCTCTAGATCCGGATTAAGCGGCGACAAAAATTAGTAAATAATTCTTGACCCGAATTGACTTTGAGTTATATATTATGTTTACGTTTGTTGTCACACTACTCTTAATAATTAATATTACTAACAAACAAGCGTCGCAGATCGTAAAAAAATACATTTGTTATAATGATGTCAGTCAAATTTCACTTAATATGGGTAATTCAAATTATTTCTAATAAAAACATTACCTGTCATGATCACCGAACCTTATTTTTTTTTAAAACAATTACCATTTAAGCTTCGCTATCCAGATTGTGTGTCCCTTTCAGGATATGAAATACGATCACAGAAAATTCTAGATTCATCTTACAAAAAAAGTATGACATCGGTAACAACCTAAATCCTAGTAATATCACAAAATTATTTTTAAACATTTAATTTAAAAAGAAAATTGAAGACATATGATCTCTTCAATGGGAATTTAAATCAATAACTTTAATTTAATAACTTGCAAAATAACTGCCAGAGGAATTTTTATATAACAATTTTAATAAAAACTACATTTTTAATAACAAATTGAACTTGGTTTTGTTAAATCCGATGCTAATCAGCAGCAACTTCACACTCAGACCTTAAATGTAATAATTAGACCATCGTCCAGGGAAGACAACTGTCGGATAAATAGAGACGTACGTAATAAATCGGTGAATTAATAATGTTTTTCTTTTATGACTAACACGGCAACATTCTCGTTTAACTATGGTAGACACATTTAGCAGTTTCTGGTATTGCACGATAGAGCAGACCTATCCGGGGAAGAACCACAGTCTCAAAGATGTGGAGTGGAACTATCATGATGGTGATTGAGGTAACCGGAGCTCACCTATTTAGATAGGCAATGAATCTGCAACTTCTCAGCATCAGGTGAACCGCCTTTTTTTTCGTAGGAAAAGTCCTTTATGGATCTCCTGCCATGGGAGTGGCGTAGGTGCGTGGATGTCCCAGTTAGAAACGGGTACCCACTATAAACGCACGTTGCACCTGTCTCGGTCGCATTGGCCGGGGATCCGCTTGAAAACATTTTGCAAAAAAAATGGTACCCCGTAGTAGTGTTTTACGACTCTTTTCTTAAGACTAGTTTCACGTAAGCCAATACACCCGACAACCAGTTCGATTTCGCCAACGAGCACGGCGAAACCAACACAACCCGTACTCAGGGTACATCCGACGGTCCTCACCGCCCTCATCCACCGATTAACATCAGGACCTGATGGCTCTAAGCGAAAATTTCTTCATCACTAAACAACGCGCACACGAGCACAGCCCAACCCTACGTGAAGGGTATCAAGCTCGTAGACTCTAGCTCTCCTACTACCTCTGCTTTCGATGAACCTTTAACAGCCTACGGACTAAAAACGAAAACAATAAAGATAAAGATAAACCAATACAAATATCTTGAATTCGATCGATCCTTTACGTTAAACGAATACTTTGCAGTGAGCATTTTAAACTTGTGGCATGGAAACTGCGCCAAGTCGAGTATATGGCCCGAGTAGGGTTGCCCGCGCCACCTGTGTACGCGCGGCCCCTCAAAGGCCCTTGTAAGCCATCATCGCGGCGGCAACAACAAAGGGACAATAACACAAGAATGCAACCGGCCATTTGTAATAGTAACAGAGTCAACACAAAAACTCGGCCCGGTCAATGATTTAGCTTCGTTAATGAGCTAACGGGTTTTAACCGCGCGGTTTTTGTGTGTGGGATTAATGAAATTGTCGGATGCCAAATAAGGGGCATACGATTAGTTAGTAGGCCCAGTGATATATGCAGTTGACAACTTTACTGTGAATTTTAGAACTCTATATGATTTTATGTTTTCATGCAATACTAAACAACATATAAACTGTTTTAGAGATGTAATCGCGTTAGATTCTTATTTGACCACCTGTAGCCTTTGTTTTTTAGTTTACGATTTAAATTTTTTTGTTGATGTCCAAGGTATTGGCTTCGGCATTTACAAATATCACTCAAAGAAACAGTTGTAAATACCTTGGCAACTGCGTCACGGAGTCATAAAAATGTTTAATAGTGCGATGATAAAATTGACCAATGTCAAAATCAAAATCAAATGTCTTTAGGAGCATTACACTCGCTTATTGATAGTTAAAACACTACCACCGTCTATTATGTCATTAGTACATATTATTGTCGGAATGGTTGTTTTGGTAATGGTCATCAACTAAATAGAACCAAATTAGACTGAAAATTATCTATCCAGATAACCAATTGATTATCTGGATTCGTCTTATCATTCAATCATTTTTATGCGAAAAGTTGTCAAACTAGCAGACGGTTCACCTGATGTTAAGTGAATACCGCCCGTCATGGACATCTGTCACACCCGAAGGTTACAGATGCGTTGACAACCTTTTAAAAATTGGGCTCCGGCTACCTCAGTCACCAGACGAAACGCGAAAGTATTTGTCATACTTCCACTTTACGGTGTCTTTGTGGTATACTTACCCGGATGGGCCTGCCCATTCGTGCAACAGCCGAAGCTGCAGCGTGGCCCTACCACCGTAAATTTGTTGTTATTAAACTCGTTAATGACTCATGAACGAAAGTACGAAGTGAATTAAATGAAAATTGAGTTACGCAAAAAGTGCACCGCTTGTAACTATTAAACCGACTTTGACCTAGTTAAAAGCCATTTTAATTGAACAAGCAAAGTTCACCTTAAAAGTACACTGAACAATCTGAACAAATGCTTTAAATATAGATGAAACACGTACATACTGCGTGGCATTTAAAAATTGTCTTTTCATCATTATATGACATACATAAGTGAATGTGAGAGATGATACAGAACGTATAATACGGAAAAAGATAGCAAACTAACTAATCAATTACGACAACGACCGTGATTTGAGTGCCTCAGTTTCGGCGCGATAGTATCATATCTACCTCGTATATATATATATATATATATTTAATATCACTGACCCTGACGAAATCTAATTCACCTTTTAGTTGCGGTAAACGTCAGCGCTCAGCGGTCTGCGAGGCATTCCGCGAGACCGTCTCGTCTCGCTGTTCGCCGTTGCCAGCGTCTTTTTGGGCCCGCATCCATCAATTCCGCTGATGGATGGACCGTTCGAGACGATCGAAATTCAAATTCGCTAAATCTTCCCACACCGCGTCGAGAACGGGCCGGGTCGTTAACGGCGTGCGCGTTGTTCGGCGCTCTTTTTTATCTGTTTGCTCTGGAGATTCGCCCTCGGGCGCGGGGGAGGGCGGGGTGCCGCGGGGGCGATGCGTCCGAGCAGACGCCCGGGCAACAGAGGCGTGATTGCAGTGCTGAGCGCGGCTAATCACTGCCGCCACACGGCCCGGCCGCGACGCGCCGTGGCACGGCCAAGAGCAACTCCCGGACCGCTTCTACAAAATACAAGCTTATTTAAGAATACAACTGGATCCTGGAATTTGCTCTGTTCTCGTTCTGTAAATGGTCCTTTATTAGCACAGCTAAGAGAACCTTCGCCTCAATAATCACAAAAAGTCGAGAGATGCATCTACTTTTATAATAGATCGATAATTTTACGGAATTTTATAACTCCAATGTAAAAATCTTTCTAGCTATACGTAGTTACAACAAAATAATATGTTATATTATTATATTGAAAGCCTTTAATTTGTATAAAATGGATGTTGTTGTGTTGGTGGATATAATGACAAATTTGCTTAAAACTTAAACTCATATTCCATAATGAGTCAGCCGAAGCCTCAAAATATTGAACACAGTTTTTATACATTAATGTTTTCACACTATTTTTAATATCTAATCACGAAAAGATATGTACACCATTGGTCCATATAAACTATAAACACCTGTAACAAATCACCTACATCTTACCTGGTCTCATCTAACCCTAACGTGACAGGTGAATCTTTCATCTGGGAAAAAATGTAAGATAGCGATTTTCGCGCAAGAATCTCGGAAAACGTATTATCCGTATTTAAATTCTCAAGTACGGTACTTGCGTCCACCCGTACAGGGCGGCCGGCGTATTGTTGTTAATAACAAACAAGACAAAAGCCTCGCCGCTAACTACACGCGTTTGCCCGCTAGTTTTTACCGAGGCTGCCTCAACGACGGCGATGGTTAAATACGGAAATATCTTTCACGTAGTCAGCCCCTCAATGCCTAATAAGCTGACGACGTAAGAAATATCCATCGAGAACAGCAGCTTCTTAAAGTCCCTTCAAAAAAACTTCATCATCCTAACTTATTCCACCCAGGTATCCTACATATGAATCATGTTGCAAGTGGATTTGCCTAGGTTTTTTACCACCAACCGCCTGCCTGACGTCAACCCTCGGAGGCAATCCAGATATTGAACAATTATACGCCTCGACGCTGAATCCAATAGTTTAAAAAGTACAGAATGATTTTTAGAAAAAGGTTTATCAATCCCAATCATCGACCAACACGGATATTCGTTAAATTATGTTACGTAATATAATGTTTAATTAAGTATAATATTTTCACCAAATTTACTGTAACACACGCCTTTACTTAATCGACGAATCACTTTATTTGCATTACTTATCCATAATGAAATGTAATTAAATCGATAAAGAAGAGAAAAAAACACAAGGAAAAAAGCTATAACGAAATCATCTCAAGTCTCCATTTTATTGAACCGAAGAAGCAAACAGCCGGTCAAAGTAAAAAAATGATGCCCAATGTGACTTCTCGGCCCGCTGATTTAATTTTGCGAAAACGTTGCCCAAGTAATAAATCTACAAAATATTAACCACTAAATAAGTACCATAATTCGATTAAAGGCTAAACCCTTCCAAATGACACTTAACTGCCTGAAATTTTGGCGCGATAGAACAAAATAACACAGAATGCATAGATATGTATAGAAGAGTATGTATAGATGACTTTCATGCAAACCTTTTTTAACTTAATAACATAACGCCAAAAATTCATTGATGTAAACGATAATGTATAAATTAATAAAAATACGTAATAAACACTAAAAAGACATTAATGTTAATACAAATTAAACTAATCGGTCCGCTGAGGTGATTTTGCGAAAAAGTTGCTCGTAGTGGAAATTATTCCTGATAAACTACATAACCAGATGACGTTACCGCCCCAACATGCACATTTTTAATTACGTTTTATAAAGCGGACAATTCAAACAGAAAGACAAAAGCATCACAGGAAATACTTGTGCAAAACAAACTTTTTTAATCTGATTACGGGTTGTGTAAATTGAAATGTACAATATACGAATATAATCATTGTTTAATTCAAAAAAAGGTTACACGCAATCATTAAATTGTGATCGCATGCATCAGTTCGTGGCTGCGTTTGGGCGGGGAGCGCGAACCGCGCATGACACATGTCAGCGACGCTTGTCAAATGTCGGCTCTTAAAGGCGCAATATTAAGGCAATTTTAATTCAATCGCGCGACATTTTGCTCACGACCGAGCGGACTGCGACCGCACTCCTACTCATTACGGCTTCATTTTGTTATAACAACAATGAGACGCGGCATTTCAAATTTTATTCCTCCTCTAATGTTGACAGCCTTTGTGTCGGAATCAATCTTGCGTCCGCGGTAATGACGCGAAATCAGTTCCACTGCGCGTACGACAAAGGGGCTGCTAATGTTGTTTATTCCTTTATTTATTCCTTCGCCCGCGTGCGTTTTTCTTTACGATCTTCTTTTTTTTGGGTTAATCTTTCATACGGATGAAAAATTGAGGTTGCATTTCTTTGCAGTTGCTTCGGACCAATACATAAAGCGTCATAAATGACTCGTGATTAGACGGACTTTTCAAAGGCGACAACGTGACCTGGCTACTTGAATGCCAGGTTTAATTAACTAAAGTGGTCTGCCACTGTTATATCATTGTTCAGATCTTTCATATAGTATTATATGATATCAAGAACTCACTCCGTCGGCCCAGCACAGGGGGTGTTTGTAGGACATGAAATAGTACCCTTTACACAGATTCTCTATAGAAATGCGCTGAATCTTGATGGTAATTACTAATCAAGCAATAAATGTCTCGAACGTTCCACAATTCCTGATCCGATATTCGGGTGTGGGGTCTAGCAACTGACAGGCTTACATAAGAATTTTCAATTTGAAAAAGCAAGCAAATCTTAAATTAAATGATTTAAATAGCGAAAATTACGTACCTACGTAAGTACAGCAAAGACTTTCATTAGTAAAGAAAATAAAAGAAATACTTACAGTTATCTTGACTTACGGTGTTATGTATCATCAGAAATTACAATAGAAAGGTAGACTTTCAACGTGTCGCTAAAAGCACAGAATTTTTTTATGTGGTAAGGTGGCAAGCGATCTGGCGGATCACCTGGCGATGAGTAATAACCGCCGTTCATTGACATTTGCAACACCCGTAGGGTTGCAGAAGCTTCGCCACCTAATAAAAAAGTGCGCGGGGCCCCAGTTACCTCACTCACCAGACGAAACGCAGAGTGTAACACTTCCACTTCACTTGGAACTTACCCGGACGGACCTGCCCATTCGTGCAACAGTGAAGACTGTTGCGTGGTCCTACCGCAGTTAAATAAAGGGCCATACATCATTAAATTTTACTTATCACACTCCGAAACAGCTTTAAATACCTAGAAATGGGCATAGAGGGAAATCAATATTAAAAGACGTTTAAGAAAATTTCACTATTGCTTTTTTACTGAGTCAGCGATGTTTTATCCTTTTTCTTCTTTTCCTGCCATTATCCGACATAAGTGGGATCGGAACAACATGTGTATCATGTTGTTAATGATATTGGATAGATTTTTTACGACCGGCCACCTGCCTGATGTCAACCTTCCTCGGGAACATCCAGATTCGGAAAAATTTGTCCCGTGTGGAAGTCAACAACCCCAGCTGAGAAGCGTATAGCTTTGATCAAATCGTCAGTCAGTCATCGATTATTGTATTAACTTAACATTTCATGCACATCCAAATAAATTTTTCACATTTTCGATCCTTCGATTGTGGGACTCAATTAGTTCGATGAAACCTTAGGGTAAAACCTTTTTTCACAGCCTGGTGGCTCTAGAGACATGTAGACATACAATTTTTTGTTAATAATATGACAGTTAAGGTCATCTCAGTAACTTTACACGCGATCGTTTTTTAATGTGACAATTTTCGATCCTTTTATTTTACCGCATAATTTTATGATGTCCACGTAAATTTAGAGCAGACACCATCAAATGTGTAAATAAAGACCACCTTTAACCGCTTCCATCCGGTGCTAATAATGATTATTTTTAGATTTAACGCCGGCTTTTTAAAGGAAAAAGTATTTGTGATTCTGCTGTTCGTTGCTTATACTTAAAAGACTTTACATTGACAATTCGAATACATTTTTAGCAATTAACATCCAAATGCAAGATCCACCTACGGGACTCTTTATCGACACTTACACGTTTTTACTTAGAAAATATGCAGATTTTCTCACGATGTTTTCCTTCACAGCTTATCGAGTGCTCTTAGCAGCACTTAAACTTCATTAGGTTTGAACTCAGGTTGCTCGAGTATATTTGATTAAAAGCGAGCGGCCGCATACTGAGCTATCACGACTGTAAGCAAAATTTGTTGAATATCACTTTCATAAATATAAGACATAAGTAGTGATTTGTTGAACAAATACTATACACTACAACATTTACTAGAACAAATACTATTAACTTTCCATGACCCACATGTGGGTCATTTATGGGTTTTAATAAGACGTTTCCGTGACATTCATGTGGGGCACTGCTCCCTTGAACCATAATGGGTTCCTATCCTACTACATGGACGTTACAGAGACTAACTTATACCGTACATGGACGTATAGGCCGTTATACAGCGTGTCGTTACCACCGCGACAATAAATGAAGACACATATAGAGGATAACTTTTAAAAATTGTATTAAACATTTACATTCTTTAAACATTAATATTTACCGAGTTATTAAATTTTCCAAAACAAACAATTTTAGAACATCCTTACGTATAAAACTGTAACGTAAAGTTCATTTGTAAAGGTCACAAAGCATATGAATGGGTTGAATGAATTTAAAAGAGACAAAACATACTGTTAAAAGGAGAGGCTTGTAATGCGACGCTATGGCGCGAGTTGTATAGGATGTTACAAATTTTGTTTCTTTTTTACTTAATTAGTTTGTTTGAAAAATATTTTTTTTTAATTATGGATTTTGTTTAACGTTAATATTTTTTATGTCCGTGTGTTCATTTATTGTCGCGATGGTAACGACATGCTGTATATGTAAAATAAAAAAAACAATGACTCATCGATTTCTTTTATTTATTCAGAACTTAAGTAACTTTGAAAACTGAACCTAAAAACGATATTTATGAAAACTGTTTTTGTAATGATATTCATTAAATACATAGAAGTTTTTGCAGAAATTGCATCGTGTGTCTGTTGATTTTGAACGAACATTAGCATCTGATCGACCTTCGTCTTTCAGTTTTTTGTAGCAACCACCGCATCTTTTTCTATAGATTGTTCCGTTCAGCTGCTTGTCTAATTTTATCACTTTATGAAGCCCTACGGCTGATTTTCTGTTGATAGATGAAGGTAATGATGTTGCGGATTTGCCTCCTACCACCGTGATTCTGGTAGTGAACAAAGTGCCAGCATTTCAACAGAAAAACAAATCTGCTATAGGACATTGAGCCGTTGAGGAATAGTGGGTGGTAATACGAAGCCATCCTTCTTCCAATAACTAAGCCCTATTAGCAAGTACATGCCAATGAATTTTCGAATTTCCATAGGGGTTACATTTCTCCAGCGCTACATACGAGCATTATCTTTCAAAACAGGATTTGCCAGCTATTGTGAGGCGTACAAGTTAGATTCGGTAACCTTTAGATCTATAACGTCTTCATCCACGATTTTGCCGGTAAAAATTCGTATGGACGGTAATCAGGTGGCCATAGCGAATCCCTTTAATCATAGGTAACGCAAGATTTTTATAATTTTTTTACCTCCACGGCCATGATACACAATTGTGTGTCACTAAATTGTACGTTCGTGACATATATGTGGGACATCTTCAAAATGGGGGTTACAGGGTTCCCCCCCCCCCTATTTTTATAAATATATAATAATAGATAATTTCAAAAAATTTGCTGGACAGTGAACGTGTTAAGAATGTTCGATAAATACTATTATACGTTAAAATTTATAGAAAAAAGAACGAAAACTTCCTTACTGATCTAAGTTTCTTACTTACTTAAGAGCAGAGATCTCTTTAAAGGAAATAGATGCTCTAAGTATCTTGAATTGCGAAAATACAATCAATGTAGATAAAAGGCGTTCAGATTTTCGTTGGTGTGGCAATCAGCCATTTACCTTAGTGGTAATACCATTATGTACCATACCCACCGATGCCACCAGTCAGGACAGACCGAAGAAGGATTTTCTCATCTTAACGAGAGGGTGTACCCAATGCTACTCGTACTTACGAGTACCATCCTTAACAAGGACTGTGCCCATCTCCCAAGGGTAAGAACAATGGCTTGACTTTGATAGTAAAGACGTAATTAATATGGAAAAATGAAGAAATATTAGTTGAATATTACTTTATATCCTTTAAAATACGTACGTGGTTTTAATATCCTCATACAGATTTCATTGTTGAGAGAAACTATTTCACTAATTAGCCTTTAGAAAAATTATCCTGTGTTGTAAGGAAGTGTTACAAACATCAATCTCACGTGGACGAACTCGCAGAACCAAATTCGTAGCTTACATTATTTTATTCTATCATCAATAGTTTTCGCAGCGCACGCGATGTAAAAAATATTTAAGTTAATTTTTGTACACTTTGGGTTACATTATTGAAGTTTTAGTAAGGATCCCTAGTTTTTTTGAAAATATAATATAGCCTATGTCATCTGGGGATAATGTAGCTTTCGCCTATCCAATACATACAAATAATCAAATATTTCCTCTTACATGGTAGGTGGAGTGGGGGGTGTTAGGTTTTATTTTCGTTACGGCATTTCTTGATTCGGTCGGCGCGCTCAAAGCCCGCGATAAAAACTATGCAATAGCTGAAAATCACTTAGGTGAACTTTATTATTTGTTTTCACCATCAATGGTAGATATACGATTGTGTTTCTTCGTACGTTTTATCTGAAGCACGAAGAAAACACAATCTTACAATTAATTTAAAGTCAATCGCTACTTTCACGAAGTTTAGTAATTACATTAGGTATAAAAAGAACAAAAAACATACATTATACCTCTTTAACATGTATAATAGTAATAAATAACCGAATAAAATTTCTAAACGCGCCAATGTTTTCTAAACAATGACAACTAACATAAAATATGAACGTTAAATCAATCAATAATCCGTCTGCAATCAATAAAATTCAATCGCAGCTCTACAGCTCGAAAGTCGACATGACGCGCAATTAAATAATGATAATTAAAAAGTTTTTATGCAAATGTTTCATTCCGATAATCGATACGCAATAAACTGTTTGCGTGCAAACATTAAATAAATCGTTTACGAGTGACTAACGCAAATTCGCCAACCGCCTAATGGACTCCGACTATGCTCACTTCCTCGCGCCAATGCTTAATGCCCGATTTGAGAATGGAACATGAAACAATTAAGTGTTGGCGTGTTGGCCGGTGTCCGACTGTGGCGAATTATAAGATTTTGAAAATTCGCAATAACATCCGAGACAGCTTTTACGATTTTATAGTACACGCTGTACAATAAAAGCGATTCATTTTATAAATAATAGTAATAACCGTCTGTTGACACGAAACGGCGTTCCTGACAGCTTTCAATCGCTCCCTTATTCTTGCAATGTTCTTATTTTCCTTATTTTTATTTTTTTTTCCTTTTTCTAGATTCGGATATTCAGGTATTTATTGTGCGGCATCCACAGGATTCGAGGCCTGTTTCACACCACTTAAT